AACCACAACCGCTACCCAAAGCACAACCCCAGGAACACCGTCCTCTACTGCAACCACTACACAGACAGACAGCACCACTACACTGACTCCAACCACTGCATCCACCCAGGCCTCCAGTACGTCTCTTCCGTCCACCACAACCACAACCACAACCACTACCCAAAGCACAACCCCGGAAACACCGTCCTCCGCTGCAACCCCTACACAGACAGACAGCACCACTACACTGACTACAACCACTGCATCCACACTGCACTCTAGTACGTATCTTCCATCCACCACGGCCAAAACCACAACCACTACCCAAAGCACAACCCCAGAAACACCGTCCTCCACTGCAACCCCTACACAGACAGACAGCACCACTACACTGACTCCAACCACTGCATCCACCCAGGCCTCCAGTACGTCTCTTCAATCCACCACCACCACAACCACAACCACTACCCAAAGCACAACCCCGGAAACACGGTCCTCCACTGCAACCACTACACAGACAGACAGCACCACTACAGTGACTCCAACCACTGCATCCATACGGCCCTCCAGAACGTCTCTTCAATCCACCACCACCACAACCACAACCACTACCCAAAGCACAACCCCAGAAACACCGTCCTCCACTGCAACCCCTACACAGACAAACAGCACCACTACACTGACTCCAACCACTGCATCCACCCAGGCCTCCAGTACGTCTCTTCAATCCACCACGGCCACAACCACAACCACTACCCAAAGCACAACTCCGGAAACACCGTCCACAACTGCAACCCCTACACAGACAGACAGCACCACTACACTGACTCCAACCACTGCATTCACCCAAACCTCCAGTACTTGTCTTCACTTCAACATGGCCACAGCCACAACCACTACCCAAAGCACAACCCCGGATACGCCGTCCTCTACTGCAACCCCTACACAGACAGACAGCACCACTACACTAACTACAACCACTGCATCCACCCAGGCCTCCAGTGCGTCTCTTCCATCCACCACGCCCACAACCACAACCACTACCCAAAGCACAACCCCGGGGACACCGTCCTCCACTGCAACCCCTACACAGACAGACAGCACCACTACACTGACTCCAACCACTGCACCCACCCAGGGCTCCAGTACGTCTCATCCATCCACCACGGCCACAACCACAACCACTACCCAAAGCACAACGCCAGGAACACCGTCCTCCACTGCAACCCCTACACAAACAGACAGCACCACTACACTGACTCCAACCACTGCATCCACCCAGGCATCCAGTACGTCCCTTCCATCCACTACGACCACAACCACAACCACTACACAAAGCACAACCCCGGAAACACCATCCTCCACTGCAACCCCTACACAGACAGACAGCACCACTACACTGACTCCAACCACTGAATCCACCCTGGCCTCCAGTACGTCTCGTCCATCCTCCACGGCCACAACCACAACCACTACCCAAAGCACAACCCCGGAAACACCGTCCTCCACTGCAACCCCTACACAGACACACAGCACCACTACAATGACTCCAACCACTGCATCCGCCCAAACCTCCAGTACGTCTATTCCATCCACCATGGCAACAACAACAACCACTACACAAAGCACAACCCCGGATACACCGTCCTCCACTGCAACCCCTACACAGACAGACAGCACCACTACACTGACTCCTACCACTGCATCCACCCTGGCCTCCAGTACATCTCTTCCATCCACCACGGCCACAACCACAACCACTACCCAAAGCACAACCCCGGGGACACCGTCCTCCACTGCAACCCCTACACAGACAGACAGCACCACTACACTAACTCCAACCACTGCACCCACCCAGGGCTCCAGTATGTCTCATCCATCCACCACGGCCACAACCACAACCACTACCCAGAGCACAACCCCGGAAACACCGTTCTCTACTGCAACCCCAACACAGACAGACAGCACCACTACACTGACTCCAACAACTGCATCCACCAAGGCATCCAGTACGTCCCTTCCATCCACTACAACCACAACCACAGCCACTACCCAAAGCACAACCCCGGAAACACCGTCCTCCACTGCAACCCCTACACAGACAGACAGCACCACTACACTGACTCCAACCACTGCATCCACCCTGGCCCTCAGTACGTCTCTTCCATCCACCACGGCCACAACCACAACCACTACCCAAAGCACAACCCCGGAAACAGCGTCCTCCACTGCAACCCCTACACAGACAGACAGCACCACTACAATGACTCCAACCACTGCATCTGCCCAAACCTCCAGTACGTCTCTTCCATCCACCACGGCCACAACCACAACCACTACCCAGAGCACAACCCCGGAAACAGCGTTATCCACTGCAACCCCTAAACAGACAGACAGCACCACTACACTGACTCCCACCACTGCATCCACCCAGTCCTCCAGTACGTCTCTTCCATCCACCACGGCCACAACCACAACCACTACCCAAAGCACAACCCCGGAAACACCGTCCTCCACTGCAACCCCTACACAGACAGACAGCACCACTACACTGACTCCAACCACTGCATCTACCCTGGCCCTCAGTACGTCTCTTCCATCCACCACGGCCACAACCACAACCACTACCCAAAGCACAACCCCGGAAACACCGTCCTCCACTGCAACCCCTACACAGACAGACAGCACCACTACACTGACTAAAACCACTGCATCCGCCCAAACCTCCAGTACATCTATTCGATCCACCATGGCCACATCCACAACCACTACCCAAAGCACAACCCCGGAAACACCGTCCTTCACTGCAACCCCTACACAGACAGACAGCACCACTACACTGACTCCAACCACTGCATCCACCCTGGCCTCCCGTACTTCTCTTCCATCCACCACGGCCACAACCACAGCCACTACCCAAAGCACAACCCCGGAAACACCATCCTCCACTGCAACCAATACACAGACACACAGCACCACTACACTGACTACAACCACTGCATCCACCCAGTCCTCCAGTACGTCTCTTATATCCACCACGGGCACAACCACAACCACTACCCAAAGTACAACCCCGGAAACACCGTCCTCCACTGCAACCCCTACACAGACAGACAGCACCACTACACTGACTCCAACCACTGCATCCACCCAGGCCTCCAGTACGTCTCTTCCATCCACCACCGCCACAACCACAACCACTACCCAAAGCACAACCCCGGAAACACCGTCCTCCACTGCAACCCCTACACAGACACACAGCACCACTACAGTGACTCCAACCACTGCATCGATACTGCCCTCCAGTACGTCTCTTGCATCCACCACGGCCACAACCACAACCATAACCAAAAGCACAACCCCGGAAACACCGTCCTCCACTGCAACCCCTACACAGACAGACAGCACCACTACAATGACTCCAACCGCTGCATCCACTCAGGCCTCCAGTACGTCTATTCCATCCACCATCGCCACAACCACAACGACTACCCAAAGCACAACCCCGGAAACACCGTCCTCCACTGCAACCCCTACACAGACAGACAGCACCACTACACTGACTCCAACCACTGCAACAACCCAGGCATCCAGTACGAGCCTTCCATCCACCATGGCCACAACCACAACCACTACCCAAAGCACAACCCCGGAAACACCATCCTCCACCTCAACCCCTACACAGACAGACAGCACCACTACACTGACTCCAACCACTGCATCCACCCAGGCCTCCAGTACGTCTCTTCCATCCACCACTACCACAACCAAAACCACTACCCAAAGCACAACCCCGGAAACACCGTCCTCCACTGCAACCCCTATACAGACAGGCAGCACCACTACACTGACTCCCACCACTGTATCCACCCAGGCCTCCAGTACGTCTCTTCCATCCACCATGGCCACAACCACAACCACTACCCAAAGCACAACCCCGGAAACACCATCCTCCACTGCAACCCCTACACAGACAGACAGCACCACTACACTGACTCCAACCACTGCATCCACCCAGGCCTCCCGAACGTCTCTTCCATCCACCACTACCACAACCAAAACCACTACCCAAAGCACAACCCCGGAAACACCGTCCTCCACTGCAACCCCTACACAGGCAGACAGCACCCCTACACTGACTGCAACCACTGCATCCACCCACGCCTCCAGTACGTCTCTTCCATCCACCACCGCCACAACCACAACCACTACCAGCAGCACAACCTCGGAAACATCGTCTTCCACTGCAACCCCTACACAGACACACAGCACCACTACACTGACTACAACCACTGCATCCACCCAGTCCTCCAGTACGTCTCTTATATCCACCACGGGCACAACCACAACCACTACCCAAAGTACAACCCCGGAAACACCGTCCTCCACTGCAACCCCTACACAGACAGACAGCACCACTACACTGACTCCAACCACTGCATCTACCCAAACCTCCAGTACATCTTTTCCATTCACCACGGCCACAACCACAACCACTACCCAAAGCACAACCCCGGAAACACCGTCCTCCACTGCAACCCTTACACAGACAGACAGCACCACTACAGTTACTACAAGCACTTCGTCCACCCTGTCCTCCAGTACGTCTGTTCCATCCACCACCGCCACAACCACAATCACAACCCTGCGGAAACATCGTCCTCCACTGCGGCCTCTACACAGACAGACATCACCACGGTCACAACCTCTCATGCCACATCTACCTGGAGTACTACACTTACTACTACCAGTGACATTCCTACAGGGCCTGTCACAACAAAGATAACTTCTCCCCCAACGACGTCCTCAGTGACTCCCACGACCACAGTCACTTCTGTGCCATCCACCACTTCGACTCCAGTGACCACCAGTACCTTGACACCCACCACCACTGTGCTTTCGACTTCGCCAACTCTTTCTACAACACAGCCAGTGTCCACTGTCACCCCTAACGCTACCTCTGTCCACCGCCATTACCACACCCTCTACTACCCATGCCACCTCCATCCCCACACCTTCCTCTAGTGCCGTCACCACGGCCACAACGGAAACGCCCACTTCTGCTGCCACTTCAACCCCGTCCACTTCCATCACAACAACTTCCCTCTCTCCCTCCACTGAGACAACGTCCACGACGTCTACCACCGACATGGAAACAACATCCACCTCGACTGCCACTCATAGTACTCCAGGCATCACTACATCAGAGAGCTCCTCCACAGGCAGCACACCCACATCCACAGCAACCCCACCTGCCTCTACCTCTGGCACCTGGCGGACATCCACAACTGAAGTCAGTACTTCTACCAGCATTTCCCCTTACACAATCACTTCTACTGAAATTGTTGGCTCTACTTCAGGAACATCAGGAACTGTGTCCACAAACATGGGAACAAATTCCACTCTGACGACACTGCATACTTCAAGTGTTGCTAGCATATCATCTTCTATATTGAGTACATCTACAAATGCAATAACCACTGCCTTTAGTACCATAATCTCATCTTCAGTTCCCATTATAACAATGTCCCCTTCTCCTTCTTACACCAGTGAAAATTCTGTGCCCGTTACTACTACTAACCTTTCTCCTATCCCCTCACATTCCTTCAGTACAGGAAACAAAGGTTCTTCTTCTGTCCCTGCTTTTCCTACTTCTTCACCTTTAACTACAAGAACTTCTCCATCCATGCCCTCTACTATAACCTCTTCTACTAAAATAACCACCACTTTTACTATTTCCTCCACTACCCCTTGTCCAGAATTTATATCAGTTACAATAGTGCCTACTTCTCCCACCACTCCATGCATAGAAATTGATTCTAGTGGTAAAGTTACTTCTACACCCACCATTCCATTATCAGTGTTTACTTCTACTACTGAGTTTGCCACCACCCCTCCTAGTTTCACTAGTATGACAACTGTATTTCCTACACATATGGACACTTCTACTTCAGTTCAGGAAACTGACCCCACCAGCATTATAACTGCTGCTGCTAGTTCTACCAGCCCTGGGACTGTCCCCATTAACACAATTTTGACGAGCACACAAAGACCCACTAGCGAGACCTGGATGAGCACCACGTCACCTGTGTCCAATTTCAGTAGCTTCCCACCAACCATGAAACCAAGCAGCAGCTTTCCAACTGCCATGATGACGTCAAGCAAGTTGACAGACCCCACCCTAACCACCAACAGGACTCTAGAGACATCGGTGGCCACCACTCAGAATCCCACCACTTATACGTCACCCAGGACAACTTCAACCTCTACTCAGATGACCACACAGTCTAAATTGACCACCACTGCAGGTTCGACATGCTCATTCCCCTACTAAATTCCCGTGTCACCAATGTCAGGCTCTTTCCTGAACTTCCCTTTCTTCCTGTGCTGCCCAGGCACTTGTGACAATGGTGGCACCTGGATACAGGGCCACTGCCTCTGCCCCCCGGGGTTCTCTGGGGACCGCTGTGAGCTCAAGGAGATCAAGTGCCAGAATGGAGGTCAATGGGATGGCGTCAAGTGCCGCTGCCCCAGTGCCTTCTATGGCATCCGCTGTGAGTTTGCCGTGGAACAGGTGGAAGTGGGTGAGTCACCAGGGTTCTGCCCTATGTACTTTCTTCTGGGAGGTGCCACTGACTCTCCCTGGGTTCAGTCCTGTGGTTGGCCTGGAGGCACCCATTCTCTTTTGCCCAATCCCTTCATCCCTGCCTTCTCTCCCATGCCCTCCCTTATCCCATCTCATGCTTCTTCTCTACCCTCACCCCCAGGAAGTGGCTGGGACCACAGTCCTTCTAGGGTCTCCTCCCAGCCTGGCTGCTCAGAGCTATATTAGTTTCTAATTGCTGTTGTAACAAACTACCACAAACTTGTGGCTGAAACAACACAAATTTCTTACCTTATAATTCTGTAGATTAGAAGTCCAACATGGGTCTTGCTGGGCTAAAATTAAGGCTTCAGCAGGGCTGCATTCCTTTTCAAAGAATCCATTTCTTTGCTCATTCTACCTTCTGGAGCCTTCCACATTCCTTATCTCAAGGCCCCTTCTTTCCATATTCAAAGCCAGCAACACTACATCTGTGACTTTTTTCCATACTCACATCTTCCTCTGGCTGATTCTGACCTTCACTGCTCCCTCTTCCACTATTAAGGACTTTGTGATTATATTGGGCCTTGGATAATTGGTGTTAATTTTTACATATTAAAGTGAGCTGATTAGTAACCTTAATTACATCTGTAACTTTGGTTCCTCCTTGCCATGTAGCATAACATATTCACAGGCTCTTGGCATTAGGACATAGGCATCATTGGGGGCCATTATTCTGCCTCCCACTGGGGCAGACAAGGGAGAGACCACAGGCTTGACTTCTGTGCATTCTGACTTCATTCTTTCTCCCATCTCAGGAAAACTCATCTCAGAATGCTTACCTCTCTCTCTCTCCTGCTATTCAGTTAGTCCTCAGGGAACATGGAGAGGGGCCATGGGAGGAGCCTCTGGGTTGGGGTGATGATGTCAGACAGGAGTGGAAGATCAAATGATAAGAAAAGGGCTTGCTGTGTACAGAGACAGTGGACACTGAAGTGGGCATGGAGGTGTCTGTCCAAAAGGAATTCTCCCCGGAACTCAATGATAACACTTCCAAGGCCTACATGGATTTCAGCAACACCTTCAAGCATCAGGTGAGGGGAAATAGGAGGGGACTCATGGGTTCTCACCTGGAGCTCAGCTTGGGCCCCTGGTGATCTTAGGTCTGGTGGTTGAAATGTGAGCTCAGGGACCCTTGGCATTTCAGATGCAGAAGGTTTACCAAAACGTGCAGGGGTTCAAGGATGTGGAGATCCTGTCCCTGAGGTAGGAGACTCTTCTGGGGCTGTGGAGGTAGTGCTGGGGTGTGTGTGTGTGTGTGTGCGTGTGTGTGTGTGTGAAGAAAGGCTGGAAAAGCCATCACTTGCTTTTGAAATCATCAAATTTCATAAAGAGAAGGACAAAGAGAATATGCAAGGGAATTACTCCATGGCGGATTTTTTGAGATAATTTTCTGGGGGCAATTTCTCTGTAAGAGGGATGCCATCCCTACCTTTTTATAAATAAACATATTTTTTAAATTTATTTCAGGGAGAGATAGAATCATCAATGATGAGAGAGAGTCATTGATTGGCTGCCTCCTGCACACCCCACACTGGGGATTGAGCCCACAACTCGTGCATGTGCCCTGACCGGGAATCCAACTGTTACCTCAACCACCGAGCCACTGTGACTGGGCGCCATCCCAACTTTTTAAGTGCATTGGAAGGAGAGGGATTGCATGGGACATGTAGGGAGTGGTGCCTGAGGGCTGGTGGGAAGCCTAGTATCTGCACTGTAGCTGGTCTCTCTCTGGCTGGCACCTGGTCTGCTGGGTGGGTCAGCATGAGCAAGATACTGCGCCCAGGATGGCCTGATTTGGTAATGGCTTGAGGCAATGCAAGAGAATGGCCATCATTCCTTGTCCTGCCTTCCCAGGCTGATCACCTCAGGGGTGCTGGCAGCTCCTTCTGAGCTGTTGGGAATTCCAACTCATTGCCTCTGTTCCCCTTCCTCCCAACACCTGTGCACCCATGGTTTGTCCTAGAGGTGTCCTACTAAGGATCGTTGTGCCTCAGGCCTGGACACCTTTTAAGATTCCCTGACCCCCTTGATCCCGTCAGGAATGGCAGCATCGTGGTGGACTATCTGGTTCTGCTGGAGTTGCCCTTCAGTGTCCAGCTGGAGAACGAGTATGAGAAGGTGAAGACAGTCCTGATGGAGGAACTCCAGAATGTCACCCAGGATCAGGACAACTGCCAGAACGACAGTGAGTTGAGGCTGAGGGCCTTGGGCTAGAGGGATGGGTCAGGGTCACAACCACTATCCCAGTCTGCTCCAGCTCAGACAGGGGCCTCCTGGGCTCAGGTGCCAACCCTGTGGTACCTCCAGCAGGTTTTGAGAAGGGACACAGGCCCACAGCCAACTGGGTCAAGCATGGGGCTAAGAGGAACTTGCCAGAAGTTGGGCGCTGGGTAGAGACCCCCTGACAGTTATTAAGGTTTCCAGGATGCCTGAGGACCCCTGATTATTCCAGAGACATGAGGGAGGCCAAAGGATTCTTCCCTTGCAGCCCATCCATACATCCCCCTTACCGACAAAGCCCTTGCTGCCCTTCCCTGTGTTTGCCCTGCTTCCCTGGCCCTGAATCCTTGACTTCTCCTACCCAATTCCACTTGTGCTTATGTCCCCCAAGCCCTGTGTTTTAAGCCTGACTCCATCAAGGTGAACAACAACACCAGGACGGAGCTAACTGTGGAAGGTGAGGAAAGGCCTAAGTGGCCCCAGGAAGCCATGACCCCTCCCCCAGGGACTTCTGCCCATTGGAATTCCCTGGGGAGGATGGGGAGACCTTTTGGGGAGGCAAGTGATGTGGCCTGGGCAGTACTGCCCGTCCTGGAGCAGCAGAGAAGGTGAGAAGAGGGTGGGGATCCTGGGGGACTGCCCTCCCTCATCTAATCCCAGGGTCTATCCCACGACACCCCACTCTTGGAAATATAACAATTTTCAGAATCATTATAACCAGGCCCCTGAGTACAGTGGGTAATGTCGCTGTCTGTCTGCCCCCTACCCCCACCCCAGCCATCTGCCGCCGAGCCGCTGCCCAGGGGTATGAGGACTTTTACTTCCCCTTGGTGGAGGAGAACAGGCTCCGCTGCGTCACCAACTGCACCTCAGGCGTATCCGGCGCCATGGACTGTAACCAGGGCCAGTGCCTCCTGGAGAGGAGCGGGCCCACGTGCCGGTGAGGCCCGCACACAGGCTGGAGTCCCGCCCACAGCCCGCTGGGTCTACCAGTAGGCCCCGCCCCAGCCCTGCCCAGCCCCAGCTTCGTCCCGCCCCCCCCTCCATTCACCTTAGGGTGGAGCCCCGCCCACCTGGTCGTACCCGCGGGGTCCCGGTGCCGAATGGACACCGCCAGGTGGTGGCCAGGATCTGTGATCTGTGGCTCCCTCCTCCAGCTGCTTCTCCACGGACACGCACTGGTTCTCGGGCCCACGCTGCGAGGTGTCTGTTGCCTGGAAGGCACTGGTTGGGGGCCTAGCGGGGGCCGCGGCGGTGCTGCTGCTGCTGGGGGCCCTCGGCGTCTTCGTGGTGCGCTACCGGAAGAGGCGCGGCCAAGACAGAGTCTGGTGAGCGCCCTGGGGGTTGCGGGTGAGAGTGGCAAAGGGGTCTCAGACGCGGTAGCCCTGCCCTGACCGTGAGTACCCTGAACCAGGTCCAGGGACGATGAGGACGACAGGAAATGGTTCGAGATGTGTGATGACAACACTGTGGGAACTTTTATAAACTTGGGCTTTGAAGACGACAGAGCAGGTGATCATGCCTCCCGGAGGAGCAGGGCAGGGGCTGGACAGGACCCAAAGACCCCCCTTGCCCAGGACAGACATATACCTCCTACTGGGGAGCTTACCTCCTGCTTGCCCACCCCCGTCCTGCGGAAGGCCAACGTCCTGCACAGGCCACCCTAGCAGGGCAGCCAGAGGGGCACGGGAGCCCCTGAACCCTGTCTAACGCACATTTCTTTCCCTCCACATGCTTTTTCCTTCTGCTTTTCTCTCAAGTCAAGGAGGAAAACTTCCACGTGGCCTTGGAGACTGTGGACACCAGTAAGCAGGTGAGGTGGCAAAAGGGGGATGGGTGGTAAGGAGCTCTCCACAAGGGCAGGGGGCTGAATGAGGACCAGGGGGCAGAAACCTCCCAGCCAGTCTGAGCCGGGCGGCTCCCTGTTCTCACTCCCGCTCTCACATACTCTGGTAGGTACACATCCAGAGACCTGAGGTGGCCTTGTCCCGGCTGTGAGCTCTGCATTACCCCCTCCGCACTGCCCCAGGCAGCAAGAAGGAACCACCCGCACCGCGTCCAGTTCCAGAGATGGCCCAGGTCTCATGCTGCTCCGTGTCCTGGTTTCCTTGGGCAAAATCTGACCATCCTCTGACCTCCATCCTTCTCCCACTTTGGGTGAAACCCATCTGGAGACCCAGTTCGGATCCAGGCTCTTCTTCTGTCGGACCTTGGGGAAATCTGTTAACTTCTCCATACATGTAAAATTCGTATAGCACACTTGTTCTGATACCGGTACAGTTATTGTGAAAACCAGAAGTGCTCAGTCGGTTTTCTATCCCAATACCCCTTCCTGTGTCAGCCCTCATGCTTAGATGGCTTCTCTCAGATCCGCAGTCCCCGCATCCTTGGGTCTCAGGCCTTAGTCTTTATTTTCCTGTGAGCATTCCATTCTGCCTATTCCTCACCTTTACCTTAGCCAGCCCCCAAACCACCCCAGCCTCCTTCCCTCCTTAGAGAATTCCCTGCCATAGCCCTTACTCCCGTTCTTTTACTTTGTCTTCCCGACTGAAACCACTTCTTAAACCACTTCTCCCCACATCCCAGCCCACAGCCCTGATCTCCTCCTGATCTGTATTCTCTCCCTCCCCATCCTTGTACCCTCAGCCCTAAGCCCTTACTCTCCACCTCAGTGCCCCAGTCCTAAATCTTCCTTTCTCCCCCAACGCCCCTGTCCCTAGTTAGGTACAGATGCCCTCGTCATCTTAGAACCCCCCAGCTGTGTTCCCCAGGCTCTCGTCCCCCATTCTGAGGCTCCATCCCTTCCTCTCCTTTCTAAGGGCCCTGGATACTTGTGGGGGGTGGGGTGGGGGGAGGGTTGGGACATGGGTTCCCCCAGGTCGTCAAGGCTGAAGGGAAGTGGTGGAGAAGCTCCCTCAGTCCCCTCCTCCTCATTCCCCTCATTCTCCATCCCCTCCTCACTGCCTCACCCGCCTTCTACCCTCTTCCCAGCTCCTCCTCCTCCTCACTCTGTTCCTGCTTCCACCCCTGTCTCTGCAGTAACCTCTGAGGCCAGAAGCCCAGCCTCCTAGGCAGGGAGGTCTCTTTTGGGGACAGGAAGCCTGCAAGTCTCCAATTCTCCCTTGGAACACAATATAACATTTATTGCAAAAGAAGCTGCTCTGTGTCTCTCCTTCTCACTTCCTGGTGCCTCCGCTTGGTTGGTGAACAGGGACATCTGGAGGAGATGTTGTAGGAGAGCCGGGGAAAGCTAGTTTTCTTGGGAAGGAAGGGGTCCATCATAGGGAACATAGAGATTGGGACGCCCATTGTCTTAGGGAGTGGGAAGCCTCTCCATGGGGGCCTGTTGGGATTTTTATCTGTACTCTTCCCTTCTTGACATCAGGAGCTTAGGGCTGGGTCAGAGAGGTGGGCAGTCTGGACTGGGTGCACTGCCATTTGTGCCAATGGGTGAGCAGGGCCTCCCCAAAGACCTTGAGCCTCGAGCCTCCCCAAGCTTGGGTGGCAGACACGCTCACACGAGGGCCTGCCACACCGGGGGCTTGGGCCCTTCTGTTCCCCCTATTGTGGGTAGCGAGGCTGGCTGGACTGGAGCTGAGGGTGGCCAGGGCTGACCGTGTGAGGGTTTTTTGGGTGGGAGTTTGGGACAGGTTCCTGGGCCCTTTTCCCAGGACTGTCAAGGGACTGGCAGTGGCCAGGGGCGGAGACCAGGACCGTGAAACCTCAGGTGTGAATGGAGCCTTGCTCAGGAGAGGGTCTGGTGGTCATTGGCTTTGGGGAAGGTGTGTGCTTCTTTGAAAGGGGCCGGCTTGAGGTAAATGATGGGGAAGGAAGGCTGGAGGAAAGAGGGGCCTCTCAGGGATTGGGGTGGAGGGTCCTTCACTCAACCCAGCCTGTTGCTGGCTGCTCCCTCCAGAGTTTGTCACCCCCACCTCCATAGTCACCCTCTCCCTGGCATTTCTTGGCCCTTGTCACACATCACACCCCTGGCTTCCTGTCCTTCCCTCTGGCCCTGTCCCACCTGTGACTGGCTTCCTGGAAAGACCCAGGGTGGTCAGCTGGCCAGGAGTTAGAGGGGAGGAGGATTGACAGGCTTCCCTTTGTACAACTCCTTGTGGTCACGATGCACCACCCACCCAGCCCCATTACTGCACCCTCACCCCGGGCCAGGAGCTGTCCTTCCCCAAGACAGAGGTCTCCAGGGTCCTTTTTATAGCTGACCCCGCCCTGGGAGGCGCTCATTTCTGGGTCTCCTGGGGAAGATCCTGTAGCCAGGGCGCCTGCTCTCTAGGAGGGGCTGGTGATTTGGATCTTGCCACTGGCTCTCTGGCTCTGGGCACCCACCACTGCCTCAACACCTGGTGAGTGAGACGCAGCCTGGCCTGCAGCTCTTTGGCATGTGCTGGCCTCCCTACTTCCCCCTCTCCCTCCCTTTGCAGGGGATGGTGCTGCCAAAGGGCTGAGCACCAACCATGACCTCATCCTATCGTTGGGATGCTGAAGCGGTCACCCTGGAGACCTGAGGGTGCAGAGGAAGGGGCATGGCCTGTGCTTGTGCAGTTGATGGCCAACACAAAGCCCCTGGCCCAGGGGCTAAGTCGGGGCTGGAATCTATCCCCTCTGCTCTGCAGGCTTCCCCTGGGAGAAGAGGGACTTTTCCTTTACCTAAACAGGGGGCTGCTTCTGCCCGGAGGGCCAGGGCTCTGACCTCACAGATGTACTCACTGTACAGGCTGCCAGCCCTGGGAGTGGAGGAGTCCACAGCCTCCCTGCTTGTTTGGGGGAGAGACTCAGGGGCCCCTGGGAAAGCCCCTCATGAATGAAGAGATGAGGGGCAGACGGGCTCTGGAGTCCTTGTTGAATCTTGTCAGAGCCATTTGTCTGGGAAGCGACTGATTACAAGCTGATTTCCAGTGGGTCCCCTCATGCAGAACAGAGTCTCTTGATTCCTCAGAGGCGGGAAGAGCTCTGGGGAAGGGGTGGGCAGGGCAGACACTGGGGCAAGGGGCAATGGGGGATGGGGCCCAGGGCCCCAGATAGAAGAGGCAGCTCTTGAGTTGAAGGACCTGCAGGGTGTGTGGAGAGGGATGGCGAGTGGGCAGGGCCTCTGCAGGAGGGAAGGTAGGCCTTGGGGTCCACGTCAGCGTGTCATGCCCTGACGTACCTCCTTCCCCTGCCCAGACATGCTGGGGGCAAGCGCAGGCCAGGAGGAGCTCAGGGGAGAGGAGTGAGGGCTGTGAGTATAAAGTGTGTGGATTTAGGGGCATTATAAAAATACATTAATACAGATATATTAGCTTTAAGGTAATAAACAGAGAATAGGAAGCTATAGGAGGGGAGGGGAGGGGGGGCCACCGGTCTTAGGAGGGTCCTCCCTGTCCCCCCACTCCTTGAGCAGATTCTGAGTCACTCTTTGGTCAGATTATCTGAGGAGAGGGATGATGGTGGTTGTGGTGGTGATGATGGTGATGATGATGGGCCCAACAGTCAGCAAGTGCACAGCTTCTTTGTGTCCAGCCATGATTAGAGACAATCACCCTCAGAAGTAAAGGCTCCTGGAGAGAACCAAGATGGCAGCTTAAGGTACAAACCTGTGTGTGCTGCCTCCCACAACAACATTGAAACTACCAACTATAGGACAAACAGCTATCATTTGGAACCATGGGAAAGCTGGCCCAGTGGAAGTTCTACAACTGGAAGGAAAGAAAGAAGAGCATTGAGACTAAGTAGGATATGCAGAGGCGCCAAGAACAGAGGTACGGAGTTGCGCGCCAGGTGGGCTGCAACTGGGTGCGTGGTTTTTTTCAATCGAAAGGGGTTACAAACTCTCGAATCCAATGAGCTTGTTTGGGGCAGGACTCTGAGGTCCCAGACCCCTACGGGGAGAGGCGGGATGGCCTTGCAGTGGGTCGGAAAGCAGGAGTGGCTTTCTCACAGAGCTGCTCTCCGGCACTCGGGGACTCGGAGACGTGGAGTCACGGAGAGGCAAGGAGTCACGGAGATGCCACTGCTGTTTGCTCTGCCCTGGTGACTCCTGAGACCCCGCCCTACTCAATTTACATCCCTGCTCAAGCTGTGCCAGTGGCACAAAAGGAACCACATGCGCTTTTGCAGCTTAACCCAACAAACTGCAGATTTCAACTCCTCGCACCCATAAGGGACACAATCAAGAAGCAGAATCAGGTTCAGAGGAAGCCGGAACCGGACCCGGCTGGGCCAGCAACATGGAACCGCTGTACCAGCAAACACACAAACTGGTCCACCAGATGCAGTCTCACATGGGATGCCAGGAGATGGCAGACAAGCAGTCTGTGCACTTAGTAGAAAACAAAATCCAAGCAAGCATACCAGAAATTCAGCCAGCAAGAACGCCTGGAGATTTTGTCCAGCAAGGAGCTGCCCAACAAAAGACAGAATGCCAAACTTAGTGTTGTTGAGACGGCCCCTGTGAGGCTGAGATGGCTCCCCTGAGGCTGAGATGGCCTCTGTGAGGCCGTGACGGCCCCCATGAGGCCGAGGCGGCCCTGGTGAGGCTGAAACAGCCCCGGTGAGGCTGAGACAGCCCCGGTGAGGCTGAGACCGCCCCAGTGAGGTTGAGATGGCCCCTGTGAGGCTGGGACGGCCCCAGTGAGGCTGGGACAGCCCTGGTGAGGCTGAAATGGCCCTGGTGGGGCTGAGACGGCCCCGGTGAGGTTGAAGCGGCCCCAGTGAGGTTGGGATGGCCCATGTGAGGTTGAGACAGCCCCTGTGAGGCTGAGACGGCCCCTGCAAGGCTACGATGGCCCCTGCGAGGCTGTGACGGCCCCTGGGAAGCCGAGAAAAATACCACATGATCTCACTCATTTATGGATAACAAAGACCATCATAAACTGATGAACAAAAATAGATACAAAGGCAGAGCAGCATTGAACAGACTGTCAAACTACAGTGGGAAGCCTGGGGAGGGTTGGAGGGGTAAGAGATCAACTGAAGGACTTGTATGCATGCATATAAGAATAACCAATGGACACAAGACACTAGGAGGTAGGGGAGGCCGGGGGAATGTCTAGGGGGGTTGGGGGGGGGGGAAGGAGACATGTGTAATACTCTTTGTAATACTTTAAGAAATAAAACAAAATTAAATTTTGAAAAAAAAGAAGTAAGGCTCCTGTTCCTAAGGCATTGACGCAGGTGAAACCCTTAGCATGCAAAAGAGTCAGAATGCATCTGTGATAAGTGCAGAGAGCTGTCAGGGGTGGGGAGGTCGGGCACATAGGGCCATTCCAAGGGGACTCCAGAAGGTTTGATGGTACCTGGAGGCCACCTGCCCCCACTCACAGAGGGCTCCGCTATTTACAAAGCCGTTCAGAGCAGGTAGTTCATATGACTCTCACAAGGAAGACTGTGTAAGGAAGTGAAGACAGACAGGAAATTGAGGCTCAGAAAGGGTGAATCACCTACCTGGGGCCACACAGCAAATAATTAACTTGACGTTAGCCATTTTAACACTAGGTTGGTTTGTGCTGCCCCACCCCCGCACTGGAGGACCTCAGCCCTCTGCAACACTCCCACCCTCTGAATGTATTCTGGGTCCTCAAGGAGGGGTTCAGAGGTCGGGTCAGAGACCACCTATGGCATCTGTAGTTTTCTTTGTTCCTAATCTGCACCCTCCTCTGGGTACTCCAGTTCACCATGAGGACTGTTGAGTTTTGGACAAGTAAACAGTAAGGAGAAAGAATGGCAGTCTGAGAAGGTAGGAAAAACACATGCGTGGCTGAGCAGAGTGTAGGGTGCCCGGAAGGCAAGGGAGCAGGTACCGAGTGGGCACGAGGTTTGGTGGGTAAGGTCAGTGGTGAGGGAACATCTTTGGGTGACAGGAGCATTAAAGCCAAGTGGAGGCTTTTAGACACGAGAGGCCCTCCTTAGGTGGGTCACCCCTGGCAGAGCAGATTTGGAGAGAGGCACCGAGAGCCATCCTGGCCTGACTCCAACTCCCCTGGAAATGGAGAGGAAGGGTCCATTTAATGATGGGCTGTGGAGCCACTAAGGCAGGTGGTCCTAGATCCTGCGTGATGGGAGGGTAGTGGCCTCTTTTTGGTGGTTGAAAATGGCCTCCAGGTGGGCCTGTTGAGTTTGTGGTGACCATGGATTTCTGGGTGGAGCTGTCCTGTAGCCTGGGGCTCAGGCGGGA